CCCCAAAACCCCAAAACCCCAAAACCCCAAAACCCCTTAAAGTAAAAAATTACTTAATTTAATAATAAGAGGGATGAAGCCTGCGAAGAAAAGCCTAGCGATCAAGCCAACCAAAGGTAGCTTTATGGATAGGTTTAAAGGCAAAACTACACAAATGAACAAGGAAGGACATTTAGGTAAGGAATGGCAGCTTAACTGACTTCTGGAGTTGATTTAGTCAACCTCTCCTCTCTTCTGTATTATCTAAAGCTCTGTATTTACATTATGAAAACAGATTCTGCTGAGTTCTTTAAACTATGTCAATGCTAATAAAAGATAAATTGTACTTAAACATTGCAAAAATTCCTTCTAAAATGCTTCTTATCAAGCCGATCTTTGAACTCGAGTTTGAAAAGTGTATGAAATCAGCATCAATAAATTTAAAGTATTTATAAAGCTAGAAATTGTTATAAGATTTTTATTTTCCTTAGTCGATTCATCAATGAGATGTCCTGAGGTATCAGGAAATGGATAAATTCCCTCATGCACAGATGTATTATAAGAACTAAGTTTGCATAAAAATATCTGAGAAGTGAGGTAGCAATAATAGGTTTACAGCTTTATTAATCTGAGCTTGATAAGTAATACATCTTCTGTCACCCTCAAGCTTTTAACTGCTTCAAATTAATTTATGAATTAATGCTGATAAATTTATTTTCTAGGGATCGTTCACAGCACAAAACAACCAGTTAAGCCCTTGAAAGCCTACCCTAATGACTCCTATAAAAACGAAGATAGTGCACCCTATGGAGATTTATCAAAGAGCAGAGATTATGGAAATCTTGGATCAAGAGGCAACAGGAGTAAGAGCAATTATGAAGCATTGTCTGCTACTAAGAGTATGAACAACTCTAGTTACACAATGCCTTCTCTCTCGCAAGAAAATAAATATTCCTTTGCTTCAAATTTTAAGAAGAACCATAAGGCTATTGATGACTGCTATAACGAAGCTCCTTCATTGCAGAGAAGGATGCAAGCAGCTGGCAATAATGTGATGAGATACAGCTCATCGTCAAATTTTGGCATAAATGATAACATGATTAGTAGAACAAGTTCTCTGCAGCCTGCCAAAGATTCTCTTGGGTTCCAAAATAACTTTCAGACACCTCAAAAGAGTAAGCTTTGTGTTTATATTTCAAAACTCTTTCTTTAGTAATCAATTTTTACCGTTATTATAGGAGGACATCTGCACCACTATGGCCAAATGTCAGCTTCTCTCCAGAGGTTTAATGAAGACCAGAGCAGCTTCAAAGGGTCATTTTACTCCTCAAGAAGTGCAAAAGTCATGAATTCTAGCAGTTATTCAATGGGAGCTGCCCAACCATACATGTCTTACTCCAACCAATCGAGTTATATGAACAAACCGGGTTATGCATTTGGAACGTCTATTGCAAGCAACAGTACTGGCTTTTACCCTACAGCAGTCTCAACCCCTGCTTATGATAAGAATAATGAGAACATTAGCATCAGATCTAAGGCAGAAGAAATGATGAAAAGGACTGAAGAGCTATCCAGAATTACTAAACCAGGAAAAGTAATGAATGATATCTCCTCTGTCAGAAGGAAATTAGACATGAACTCAGGAGAGAGTTACTTTAGGAAATATAAAGTAAGTCCTATCTCATTTCTTCTGCTCACTATGGTTTAGAAAGCTAAGTTAAATCCTTCATATAAAGGAAGCAATATAAGGAGACATCTTAGTGAAAACTAAACCTCAAAGATAGAGGTCATAACTCTACTTCTATGAGAGGAAAATGCCTTGGCTATATTTCAAGGTTGTCACATTTGTCCACAGAAGGTAGACTTAAGTTTACTGAGTGCCTCTTTAAATAAAATTTCTCTAACTATCCATCCTCGACCTCGGTATTATTCCAGATGTAGCTCCAGTCACCGAAGAGCTTTAGAAGATTAGAAAATGGTTTGATAAGATCTGTATTAGAATAAAATTATGTCAACCTAAAATTACCTTCTAGGGGTTTTGGGGTTTTGGGGTTTTGGGGTTTTGGGGTTTTGGGG